CAGCTGCTCGAAGCCGGCGCCGCGCAGCCACTCCAGCAGCAGCCGCACGCAAGCCCGCAGCTTCACGCCCTTGGACCAGTGGAAACAGCCGAGAGAGGAGCCTGCGGGAGGCAGAGCGGCCGGGCTGAGCACCCCGAGGCTGAGCGTCCCCCACCGCCCGCTGCCTGGGGGGAAGCCCACCACTGAGCGGGGTAAGAGCTGCCCCGGGATGGAGAAGCAAAGCCGGGTTAACGCTGCCCGTGTCCCACAGCCCGTGGCTCCAGGCACGCTAGCGCTCAGCGGGGCTGCTGTGTTAATCAGGGCTGATGAGCACCATCGTGCTCCTCAATCAAAAAAGCAGGCGGCAGTGGTTTATTACCCAGGTGGCCCCAGGAAAGGTGCTGCACTCAGCACCCCTCTGCTTGGGCTCAAAATAGGAGCCATCTTGCGGGGGTGAGGGCAGTGCAGCCAAGGAGGCACAGGGCTCAACCTCTCCTGGGCAGCAGGGCTGTGGGGGCAGAGCCGGATTTGGGCTCAGCTGCCCCACGAGGATGGTGCTGAGACCTGCCTGTTGCCAGCCTCCTCCAGCTGCCTGGCAAAGCCCCTTCTCCTAGCCCTACCACCTCCCAAGGTGGGCATGCTTTAAAATGCCCCGGGATAGTCCCTCAAAGCCCCGGGATGGTCCCTCAAAGCCCTGGGATGGTCCCTCAAAGCCCTCAGCTTCACCTGGGTGGGAAGTGCCCTGTCCCAGTGAGGCATTTGGGGCGGACTGACCCTTGTCCAGGAGCTGGTTGAAGAGCAGCGTGTTGGAGAAGAAGAAGAGGTAGGCGAACATCTGCGAGGTGATCTCTGGGTGCACTTCGTACTGGCGCAGCAGGTCCAGCACAGCCTGGTAGATGAGCACAACCCTGCGCAACTCCTCGGGCAGCGCGGGCGACGTCCGCCACGTCTCGCGGCCCTCGTTCTGGAAGGGGTTGCACTCCAGCAGCGCGGGGAGCGACACGTACAGACACTGCACCGGGAGGTACAAAGAGCTGGAGATGTGCAGCAGGATGGGGTATTTTATCTTTTTTTTTTCTTTTTTTTTTTTTTTGCATCAGCCAAATCCTTCAGACCTCCTCACCTCTGCAAGCAAACCCTGCTGGCCCTACTCCAGCAAGGGTTTTTTCCTGCTCTTATTCTCCCTTGCAATGTGCCAGTGTTGCACAAGACTTTTCGCTTTTTTTTTTATAAAGACTTTTCTTTTTCTTTTTTTTTTTTTAAAAAAAAGGCGAAAAAAGTGGTGGTGGGCAGGGGAACGGGGCCAAGCTTTCCCTATTGCCTAAATGGGGAGGGAGCAGCATGTAGCAGGCGCCTGTGCAGAGGAGCGGAGGGTGCAGCAGAGGGGTGGGGGGCGGCCGGCGCTGCCGGCCAGGCTCTGCCCCGGGGGAGCCGCGCCGAACGGGCCCGGCCCCGCGGAT